GATAAGGGACTTGTATTCAGAATACATAAGAACTCTCACAACTCAACAATTAAAAGACAACCCAATTAAGAAATGTGCAGAGGGTCTGTATAGATATTTCTCCAAAGATGTATATATGGCCAATAGGCACATTCAAAAATGCTCAATCTGGGCCGGCCCCATGGCTTAGCGGTTAAGTGTGCGCGCTCCGCTACTGGTGGCCTGGGTTCAGATCTTGGGCGTGCACGGGCACACTGCTTGTCTGGCCATGCTGAGGCCACGTCCCACATACAGCAACTAGAAGAATGTGCAGCTATGACATACAACTATCTACTGGGGCTTTGGGCGGGGGGGGGAAGGAGGAGTGTTGGCAATAGATGTTAGCTCAGAGCTGGTCTTCCTCAGCAAAAAAAAAAAAAGATTAGCATGGATGTTAGCTCAGGGCTGATCTTCCTCACAAAAAAAAACGTTCAATATCATGAGTTATTAGGGAAATGCAAATCAAAACCACAGTGAGATATTAGATACCTACTATGATAACAAAAATAAAGACAACAGCAAGTGCTGGCAAGGATGTGGAGAAATTGGAGCCTTCTATACGTTGCTTTTGAGGTTGTAAAGTGGCACAGCCACCTTACTAAACAGGTTGCAGTTCCTCAAAATGGTAAATGTAGAATTTACTATATGATCCACTCCTAGTTATATACCCAAGTGAAATGAAAACATAGATCCATGCAAAAACTTGTACATGAATGTTCATAACAGTGTTGTTCATAATAGCCAAAAAGTGGAAACAACCCAAATGTCCATCATTTGATGAATGAATAAATATATCATTTATCCATACAATGAAATACTATTCAGCAATAAAAAGAATGCTGCAGCATGGATGAACCCTGAAAAACATGCTAAGTGGAAAAAAGCCAGTCAGAAAAGACTACATATTATATGATACCATTTATATGAAATGTCTCAAATAGACTAAGGGCTGGGGACAGGAGAAAATGGGGAATGACTGTGCAGGATTTCTTTTTGAGGTCATGAAAAATCTTGTAAAAGTAGATCGTGATGGTGGTTACACAGCTCTGACTATACTCAACACCATTCAATTGTACATTTTAAATGGGTGGATTTTATGGTATTTCAACTAAGTGTCAGTAAAGGTGCTTTTTTAAAGGGGAACTTTCTCTTTTCTAATAGGTTCTGAAATGGACTCGACAACATGCAGTTTATAATGACAAGAAACAGTTTATGTTTACCTTAGCTGTAGACACTTGAGTTCATTTAGTCTCATCTGATTTCTGCTGCTATTTTCGGTGGGATATCTACTAGCTAGGCAGTGTGAATAAGAAATGGATCATTCTCTTCATTTGACTGCCAACTAATCACAGTATTTGTTTGGTGCTGAAGGTTTATAAGAAAAACCAACTATCTTCTTTATGTTTTTACAGCCGGGAAGCTTCTCTGTAGCAAAGTTTGGGCCTCTCCATTCCTATTTAGCATAGAGGGATCTTCATATTTCTTGACTTTTGGCTTTCATTGCATGTTTTTAAAATTCTTCCCTGTTTTCAGAGTCCCAGTTCTTGAAAAGTGCTGGCACCTAAATAAAAAAGGGGGGATGCTAAAACTAGTGGGTAAGAGTTTGATAAGAAACAAGATATTTACATAGTCTCAAAGTATCTCCTCACAAATTACTTACTGATTATGAAGACAAAAATAGTAACCTTACAGTGGAAACACCTGTTGAAAACCACTTTGACCAAGTTATCAAAGTTAACGTTAAGAATATTGCCACATGGGGCTGGCCCCGTGGCTTAGCGGTTAAGTGCGCGCGCTCCGCTACTGGCGGCCTGGGTTGGGATCCCGAGCGCGCACCGACGCACCGCTTTTCCGGCCATGCTGAGGCCACGTCCCACATAAAGCAACTAGAAGGATGTGCACCTATGACATACAACTATCTACTGGGGCTTTGGGGGAAAAAAAAAGGAGGAGGATTGGCAATAGATGTTAGCTCAGAGCCGGTCTGTCTCAGCAAAAAGGAGGATTAGCATGAATGTTAGCTGATCTTCCTCACACACACAAAAAAAAGAATATTGCCACAAAGTGAGATGATGTTCATTCTGATAATGATACAGGGAGGAGGCCATATGGTCACTTCTGTGGTATTCTTTGCCAAAATGCCTAGCCTGAATCTAATCATGTGGAAGCATCAGAGAACCCCAAATTAAGCAGTATGCAACCAAATTGGCTCATGCTTTTCTCAAGTCAAGAAACACAAAGAAAGGATGATGAATTAAAGAAGGATAAAGTCATGACAACTAAATACAATGTGTATTTAATATGGGATGTGGAGAAAGGAAAGCGTAAATGGACATTATTGAGAGAATTAAAATTTTCTGGAGGTATTTTGGGTTGTCTTAAGTTGGGGAGGGTGGTTGGGCTAGGATCCTGCTATATATCCTAAAGATACACAGGACAGTTCTGCACAACAAAGAATTATCCATCCCAAAATGTCAATAGTGTGCTGTTGAGAAACCTTGGGTTAGATAATAGTATTGTATCAGTGTAAATTTGATAAGTATACTATGGTTATGTAAAAGAATGTCTTTGTTATTCAGAAATATTGAAGTATTTAGGGGTAAAGGGACATGTCTTCAATTCTTCAATGGTTTAGAAACTTAACACACGTTAAGTGGCAACTAAGGAAGCAAATGGAGCAAAATGTAAACAACTGGTGAATATGGATAAAGATTATAGGGGGATTTTTATATTTTTGAAACTTAAGTTTGAAATTATTAAAATTTAGCATTTCCCCTAAAAAAGAACCTGCCAAGTAAGCAAAACTGTGCATAAACTCCTTGTTTAAAAAGAAAAAAAAAAGGCAGCTGAACCCTATTGTTTATTCAGATACTTCAAGACTAGTGCTCTGAAAAAGAAGTTTTCTGCATAGTAGAGTAGAATTTTATATTCTATCCGGTTTCTTGAGAAAACTTCTTGCGAAGTAATGCTTCAGGTCTTGAACCTTGTTGAAATTGACTTTCATGAAAGTAGACTATGTGTTTAGGACTTTTGGTAGATGGCAATATATGTGGAAGTAGAAGGTAGGTAGTTATAATATAGTGGGCTTCTTTTTTTTACCAAAGCATCAAAAGTAGATGTTTCTAGACATTGTAAATGTTCCATCTTTACTACATGTCAAGATTTTGTTCAGAGAATAAACCTTACTGCTTTTTCGGTTTTGGGGTTTTTTTTTTTTTTTTTTGCTGAGGAAGATTTGCCCTGAGCTAACGTCCGCTGCCAGTCTTCCTCTTCTTGTATGTGAGCCACTGCCACAGCATGGCCACTGACAGATGAGTGGTGTAGGTCTGCACCTGGGAGCAGAACCTGGGCCACCGAAGCGGAGCACGCCAAACTTAACCACTAGGCCACTGGGGCTGGCCCGAAACCTTACTAGTTTTGAAGACTTTGATTACCTTGACTATTTCCAGAGGATCTCATACAATTAGAAGTCTATGACACTAGCACACATAGAGTCCAGGATCTGGTATGGAAATGTTAGTAATTAATATTAAAGGGAAATTACACAATTTCTTATTCCTCCATAACGTGCCTCAACTTTCTGGAAGAAATGTCAGTGATTCCCAAGTGGTTGACAGCAATTGTCAGAGCAATTGCTTCAGCTTTCTTGTGCTCCAGGCCACAAATCAACTTGACCATTTCTGGGTCATACAGCTTTTTCCAATAAAATTGAAAAAATGAAAAACTGTCCATAGTATTTTTAGGACAGTAGGTGCTTTTTAAGTTTTTTTTGCTGCCGTCTTTCATTGCAAACTTTTTCACCCATTGTATGCTGTATTGAAAGTAAAACCAAAGAGTTTACTAGCTTTGTTTTATTTTTTAATTCTTTTTATAAAGGAATTTCCAACTGAAAGGGTAGATTTTCTTGAATTTCTGTCTGAAACTTGCATAACATGCTGATGGTAATAACTGTTATTGTAACTTTATTATATAGAGTAGCATCTTGTGTTACTCTAACTTCCTAGGTAGAAATTAGTAATATAATTTATTTTTATAACAATATTTTTTTCTCCATAATGACAGTTTTCAGTATAACAGGAAGGAAATTGAAGAAAAAGCTTTATCTTAGTGATTAGTTTATGTTCACAGACCCCTCAGGTCAGTCTATGCTGTGATCAGAAATTGCTTCGTTGTGTATGAAGATTGGGTGAAGGGGTTGTGATGAAGAATTATTTGACAGCACATTTTTTTTTTTAAAGAGTCTATTTATTTATTTTGTTTTTGTGAGGAAGATCAGCCCTGAGCTAACATCCGTGCCAGTCTTCCTCCACTTTATGTGGGACGCCACCACAGCATGGCCTGACAAGTGGTGCGTCGGTGCAAGCCCGGGATCCCAACCCTGGCCGCTAGCAGCAGAGTGCACGCACTTAACCGCTACGCCATGGGGCCGGCCCTGACAGCACATTTAACAGATCATTTTTTTTTTTTTGGTTGTGTAAAAGGAAAGTTTATTTTTGTGGGGAAAATAGGAGATGGGTAGAAACCACCAGTAATTAATTAGTAGACTTCAGGTTGCCTTTTTTTTTTTTTTTTTTTTTGTGAGGGAGATCAGCCCTGAGCTAACATCCGTGCTAATCCTCCTCTTTTTGCTGAGGAAGACCAGCTCTGAGCTAACATCCACTGCCAATCCTCCTCCTTTTTTTCTTCCCCAAAGCCCCAGTAGATAACTGTATGTCATAGTTGCACATCCTTCTAGTTGCTGTACGTGGGACGCGGCCTCAGCATGGCCGGAGACGCAGTGTGTCGGTGCGCTCCTGGGATCCCAACCCAGGCCGACAGTAGCCGAGCGCGTGCACTTAATCGCTAATCTACTGGGCCAGCCCCAGGTTGCCTTTTAATTATAAAGGATTAATGACTTTTTAACTGGCTTAATTTCCTTTGGTTAAAGTCAGCAGTGATATGGGTATCTATGTGTATAATGCATGCTTTTTCTTAATTTGCAGACCATGAAGACTATGACCCACAAACTGTGAGGCTGGGAAGTAGATATAGTCATGTTCAAGAAGTCCAAGAACGGCTTAACTTCCTTAGGTTTGTTTTAAACAATTAGTGTTGCTCTCTTTTTAAGACACAGATAAAGAATGCCAAGTTAATATACTATATAGCTAGGTCTTTGTTAGGTGGCCTTTTTCCCTTGCCACCTTTTATTTTCCAACATGGAAATCATTGCCTAAAAGTCAGAAAACATTTCCCTATGTGTTCATAATTAAATATATTAAAACTATTGGCTATTAAAACTATGTGTTCTTTGCAATATTGGAAGAGAACACATTTAAGCTTTGGTATAGACTTCTGGTCGTCTTGTTTGTTTACGCCGAAAATATGTTTATTTTTTAAAGAACAAATTTTCATATTTTGACACAACCAACTAGAGAACCATACTGACTTTAATGATATCATAGACACTAAGGAAATGGGGGCAACAAGGCTGCTGGAGCAGCACCCCAAAAGAGTGGTTTGAGTCCCGTTGTGCCTTGTTTATCCTAGCAGTGGCTGACAAAGGCAGTCTGAAGTCATGTGTTAATCACGTTATTCTGATGGGGATGAGGAAAAGATGTTTATTCCCTAAGCTAAAGCTAAATGTAGTCTCAGGCTAGATTTGCTCAATGATAATTTAGCTTTTAATGATTATACCCTTATAGATTTGAAATTAAAATTTTTGATGGTGAGAGGTTTCTTGTGAATTCAGAAACCACATCATATAGCAAAAGAGCTTATTCAGATCATAAGTGTGCTAAGGGAACTGCCAGATTATCAGTGCTTCAGAAAGTCTGTTTATTATTTTGATACACTGGGGGATTTTCTTCTGGGCTATGTTAATTATGGGCTTAGGTTTATTGAACTATGTGCTTGCTTTCTGGGAAACATTTACATAGGTATTTAAATAATTTTAACTTGAGGAAAAACTCTAGCCACCAGATTTTAAGAAATTTGACATTTGTTTAAAATGAAATGTTTTGTGTGTGTGTGTTTTGCTTTTCAACCACCTGACTAGAAGGACCTGCCTCCCCAGAATGAGAATCACTGCCATAGTGAGCCATTGTTACCCATTGGCGTGTGTTGTATCCCTTAGATTTCTTAGGACAGAAAAGTGGTTATGAGTCCTTTGGCTATATTCAAGTTTGGAATCAGAGGACCTATTCTAGTTGCTGCTCTGTTAGTACCTAGCTACATGCAGCTCACTCAAGGGAAAAGAACCTAACTTTACCCACTGTACGTTTGACCTGTGTTAACCTTTACATTTGCATTGAATCCTCATAGCAATGCAGTGAGGGAGGTATTATGCCCATTTGATTAATAAGAAAGCTGAGATTCACATGCTTGTTTGAAATCACATAGCCAGTATGTAATGGTGTTGCACTGCTCAACCAAATCGATCTGACTTCGAAGTCTGTGCTCTATTAGACTAGTGATTTTTCAAACCTACCTTGGAGCTTTAGGCTTCTAAGGAGCTTCCTCCAGGATTTCTGAACAAGCAGTGGGAGTTTTATTCCCGTTTCTCCTTTCTTTCCTCCTCCCAACAACTGGAGCAGCTCTGCTTTTATTTTATACATCAGACTTCCGAATGGAATTTTTGCTTGAAAAAAATTTTCTGCTGTTGTCTTTGAAAAAAAAACAGCTACTACTAAACTTAGAAAACAACTGCATTTTATCATTACATTGGACCTCAGTTTCTTATGTGTAAGTTAGAGGTAGCAAGGTTAGGTAGGACTATGTGCTAGAAGCCTTCTTCAGGCTCAACAATCCTGTGAAAATATCAAAGACCCTAGGATTGAGATCCCAAAATGCTTTGAAATGGAGAGGGAATCTATTGACATTAAATACCTGCTCCATACTCTGTAACTGGGCATGGAGCCACCATAATGTTAGCTAAAAATTATGTGTTATTCAGAATAAAATGAGGCGTTCTCTTTCTTTGTCATTCAGAGATAATGGCAGACATGGTGGGTGGATGAATGCTGAAAGAAATAGAAAACTTAGTGAAGAAGGAGACTGTAGTTGTAACAATTCACCTTCATTACTGTCTTATTTTAATGACCAAACCAACAGTCACAAAACTAAGAAGACCCTAGAGAATATCACTGAATAATGGATAAGCCTCCTGTTGACTATTGACATAAAAAGTTTAAATCATATGTAGGTTATTCTGTTTAATGTGGCCAGGTACTTAGTGATGGATATTAGATCATCATAAAGTATTAAAATTTAAACAATTTTAACTCCTAAATGTTAATGAGTCGGTATCTGTGAAAGTCGCTTAGAATACCTCATTCTCCAATGATGATATATAAGCAGAATGCTAAAACTCAAAGAACCTATTAAATATACTTTCAAAATGGCTGGTTTCAAAGATTAAACTGTTGAAATTCAAGAAACAAATCTTTTATTCAGTTTAGGTCCAATCATCTAGCAGAGTTCCTGGCACATCGTAGGTGCCCAGTATGTACTTGTTAAATAAATGAATTAACATCTAGTATTTTTTAATACCAGATAAAGTTGAGAAAAATGTTCTTTTAAGATGTCAATAAGAACTGACATCTGTTTATCTGTAGTTAAAATATAATTGTGATAAATGGATTATTTCATATATATGTATATTTCATGTATATATACACACAGTCTTTCAGGATAAAAATTATGTATATCTAATTGCTAATTTTTTATGTTTTTCCAAGATTTTTATTGAAGGATGGCCAACTGTGGCTATGTGCTCCTCAGGCAAAACAAATATGGAAATGCTTAGCAGAGAATGCAGTTTACCTTTGTGATCGTGAAGCCTGTTTTAAGTGGTATTCCAAGTTGATGGGGGATGAACCAGACTTGGATCCTGATATTAATAAGGACTTCTTTGAAAGTAATGTGCTTCAGCTTGATCCTTCCCTATTAACTGAAAATGGAATGAAATGTTTTGAGCGATTCTTCAAAGCTGTGAATTGTCGAGAAGGAAAACTAGTGGCAAAAAGGAGAGCCTATATGATGGATGATTTGGAGTTAATAGGATTAGACTACCTTTGGAGGGTAAGTGAAAAGTAGGAACTTTGTAAACAGTTGTATCTGATGTAGTTTTTCAAATAGGTAAGGAATCACAATTTTGCATATAAAGTGTATGTATGTATGCTGCTCTGATGCTTGTCCCAGAAGGTGGTGATCATCTTTATCTTATTGTTATGTCATTTGTCATTGGGTTTTTTTTCCTCTCTCTCTCCTTTTCCCTCCCTCTTCTTCTGCCACACTGGTGTTCCTTTTGTCTTGGCTTAGACTCTATTCCAGATATGTTTAGAAGTGCACTAACCATACAAATCTTTTATGCCTCCCCATGGAAGTTATTGTTTTTCCCTTTTTTTCGTTCACTGTAGATCTGTTTCTTCTTCACTGTTAATTTTAGGTTATTATACATTTAATACTAATATAAATAGAGGATAGAAGAGAAGACTTAGAAGGGATTATGAGTGTATACTTTATCATCACTGTTTAACTTGATATTTTTAAGTACCCGAGGGAGTAAAATATTATTGTCTATTTAAGGCTCATCTTTCCACCTTTATAGTAGTGTGTATATTAATTGAGATATAATTGACATATAGCATTATTTTAGTTTCAAGTGTACAACATAATGATTTGATATATGTATATATTGCAAAATGATCACAGTAAGTCTAGTTAACATCTGTCACCACACAGTTACAATTATTTTTCCTTGTGATGAGAACTTTTAAGATTTACTCACTTAGCAACTTTCAAATGTGCAGTACAGTATTATTAACTGTAGTTGCCATGCTGTATGTTACATCCCTAGGACTTAATTTATTTTATAACTGAAAGTTTGTACCTTTTGACTCCTTTCACCCATTTTGCCACTCCCCACCCCCTGCCTCTGGCAACCACCATCTGTTCTTTGTATCTATGAGTTCAGTTTTTTGTTTGTTTGTGGTTTTATTGTCGTTTTTTTAGGTTCCACATATAAGTGAGATCGTATGGTATTTGTCTTTCTCTGACTTATTTCACTTAGCATAATGCCCTCAAGGTCCGTTCATGTTGTCGCAATATAGTATAACGTAGTATTCATATTTTTAAAAATCTGATCTGTTAGTAGCAGTTTATATTTTTTTTGGGATATGAAATATTTTTCTTGCAAACAGACTAAGATTTTTACTGTGGTATTTGATTGTTCAAACTTTTTCATTAAATAGGCGGTTTTCAACATTTTTAAACAGCAGAAACCCTTTTTAAAAATCAAAATTTACGCAACACTGTAGTTGAAATGAGAAAGGAAAGCCTTTTTTTTTCTGCTCAGTCTCCCTGTGCTTCACCCCCTTCCCCATCCCCAAGCCTATTATAGGGATCAGCCCTAAGACACTTCCTCAAAGCCCTCGAGTTCTGCACATAGTTTGAAAAACACTGATATAGTTAGATGAGTGATAAAGATCTGTAGAAAATAAAGATCTGTAGAAATGGAGATTAAGATCTGTAGAAATGGAGTAGGTAGCCCTTTATACTAAACTGTATTTCATGTAATCTTTTCTTTCCTTTTAACCAATTTGAATTCCTCCTTTAATGTCTCACAGCTAGGCTACCAAGGTGTTGAATTCCAAGGTTTTATAGTACTGGTCAAAGCATATTTTATCCTTAGTAACATGTGTCTTCTATTCTTAAATTCCTTTATTCAAAGACATGAGTTTTGCATTTTTTATTCTTTTTTTTTGGTGTGTTTTCACGCTTAATTTTACTTGATTTACTTGATTATCAAAGTCAGTGTACCCTTAAATTAATGAATACTGTATTAAAAGTAACTGAAGGTATGGTTTGAATTGAATTAAACCCATTTTAGTTTGATGCCCAACTGAAATATTTCTCTTTTTTTTTAATTGTGGTAACATTGGTTTATAACATATAAATTTCAGGTATACATCATTATACTTCTATTTCTGCATACATCACATCATGTTCACCACCCAAAGACTAATTACAGCCCATCACCACGTACATGTGGCAAATCATCCCTTTTGCCCTCCTCCTTCCCCCCTTCCCCTCTGGTAAACCACCAATCCAATCTCTGTCTCTATGTGTTTGTTTTTTGTTGTATTTTGAAATATTTCTTGAGAGGTATTTACACTCGAATCTTTTTGAATCTAGGTGGTGATTCAGAGTAATGATGATATTGCCAGCAGAGCTATAGATCTCCTTAAAGAGATATACACAAACCTTGGTCCAAGGCTACAGGTCAATCAGGTGAGGATTGACATGCATTAAAAGTTCCACAAATTAGAATTCTGATTGAAGAACTCTTTTGCTGATAGGAATTTTTTCTTTAATTCAGAGTTAACTAGAAATTGTTTTGTTTCATCGTTATTAAAAATATACGTAAAAATATTTAGTCCATATTTCTCTCATACAAAATGCTGTCTAAATGAATCTTGTTTTGGTGTTTATCTTGAAATGATTATTTTGATAAGGAGGGCGGATATTCTCAGTCCACCCTCCTTATCTGCGAGTTCTGCATCCATGGATTCAACCAACTACGGATCAAAAGGCCTACGATGGTTGTGTCTGTACTGAACGTGTACAGACTTTTTTTCTTTTCATTATTCCCTAAGCAATACGAAATAACAACTATTTACATAGCATTTACATTGTATTAGGTATTATAAGTAACCTGGAGATGATTGAAAGTATACGGGAGGATATGCATAGGTTATATGGAAATACTATACCATTTTATATAAGGAACTTGAGCATCCACAGATACCAGGGGACAACTGCAATTATGGCAAGAGATTTTGACTGAATGTCTTTTGATTCTGACACCTAATCCTCAAGTTCTTTTTTTGAGTATCTAGTTTATACTTGTTAACTTACATAAATAACTCTACCTTCCTTTGACAAAACATCGTGTTTTATTATCAATATAGACTCTCTGATTAAATGTGATCATGGTTAATTGAGAGCTACCTTTAAATTAGTTGTTGCTGTCGTTAATTGGATTGTTTAAATATATATATATTTAATTTTTACATTTCAAAGCAACTTGAACTGTATTTGGCTCGTTATTTGTAGGTGGTGATCCACGAAGACTTCATTCAGTCTTGCTTTGATCGTTTGAAAGCCTCATATGACACATTGTGTGTTTTGGATGGTGACAAGGACAGTATTAATTGTGCAAGACAGGAAGCTGTTCGAATGGTTCGAGTATTAACTGTGTTAAGAGAGTATATAAATGAATGTGACAGTGATTATCACGAGGAAAGAACAATTCTACCTATGTCAAGGTTTGTGGATAACTGATCTACTAGTGCTGTTTTCTTAATTATTTGGTATTTTCCTAGCCATTTAATTTTCAAAAAGTGACCATGTAGATGAAAAAGGAGAGTGGGGAAACTTTTTGTTTTTGAAAATGTTGGTATCTTGGCCATTAAAAACATTTGCATCTTATAGAATTTTTTTTTAATAGTAGATCTTTGTTCGTTTTCCAGGATCTGTTTTGTGTTTGTTTGTTGTTGTTTTTTTGGTAGGGCATTCTTACTCATTAAGTCTAGTTTCCTCTTTTTATTCTTTTTTTGCCATTGACTTTATTGCCCGTTAAGTGGTGTCAGGGATATTTTGCAGTTGAAGCGTTTTGATGCAGTTCCTTTACACTGTTAAAAATAATAGCATAGTCAGATTGGAAAGTAATTGGAAAGAACTCTAAAGCCACTTTGAGAGATAGCCAATATAGCAAGAAATATTTTCAAATGGTCTACTAACATTTCTCTTAAGGTCTTACTATTTAGTAATTTAAATAGTATTTATAATTTAGACATGTCTATAGAATGAGTGACATTAGTATTTATTTTAAAATAGTTCATGAAATTATTTAAAGTCGCTCCTTGAATATCATTTTTGTCTTCTGTATCTTACCTGCAAGAAGATAATATGCCAACATAAACATCATTTTGGGGGATGAATTTTGATATTAAGAATTTTTCAGAAAAAAATGTACATCATAGCATTTTTGTTGATAGTCTCAAGATGAAGTTTTATCTTTCACATTTAAAAATAGTGAGTTGGGGGGACAGCCCCATGGTTTAGTGGTTAAGTTTGGTGTGCTCCGCTTTGGTGACCCAGGTTCACAGGTTCGGATCCTGGGCACAGACCTACACCACTCATCAGCCATGCTGTGGTGGTCACCCATATACAAAATAGAGGAAGATTGGCACGGGTGTTGGCTCGGGGCAAATCTTCCTCAAGCACAAAAGAGGAAGAGTGGCAACAGATGTGGGCTCAGGGCGAATCTTCTTCGCCAAAAAAGAAAAAAAAAATAGTTGAGCTTTTATAGCATAAAAATATTGAAGTGTTATTCTTGTCTCTTTTAATTTCTTAAAACTCAGACACCTCATTTTCTGCAACCATAGGTACAGGAGTAACAACAATGGAATATGATTGTTGTGTTTTGAAGATTACTTATAATGTTTGTAGTTAAAAGGAGCAGTAAATTTTTTTTCAAGAGCCTAAAAATAATAAATATCCTTAACTTAGTTTCTCTTGTTTAATGAGAAAATGCTCAGTATTAAATTCCTAGCTTTATATTCTTTGCAAGAAGATTTGAAAGTGGGCTGAATATGATGATGTTTTACCCTTTTTTCCTGCAGAGCTTTCCGTGGTAAACACCTCTCTTTTATAGTTCGATTTCCAAACCAGGGCAGACAGGTTGATGACTTGGACGTATGGTCTCATACAAATGATACAATCGGTTCAGTACGGCGATATATTCTCAATCGTATTAAAGCCAATGTAGCCCATACAAAAATTGAGCTCTTTGTGGGTGGTGAACTGATAGATCCTGCAGATGATAGAAAATTGATTGGACAATTAAACTTAAAAGATAAATCAGTAAGTATCTATAATTAACTTTTCAAGAAAATCAAACCTGAGACTATTTTTCATTTCACTAGTCAAGTTTCATTCAATAAATGTTAACTGAGCATCTGTTATGTGTGAGGCTCTGTATTAGGTGTTTGGATTATAGCACTAAATAAGACAGGCATCATGGTACCTACAATATAGTAGAGGAAAGGATTTCTGAAAACAAAACTATTTAAGTGGTTATGTTAGACAACACTTATAAATTGTATTTCTAAAAGTATAGTGTGTAGTTTTTTTGTTTATTTGTTGGTATGTCACTAACTTTTGTTTTGTGTATTTCTCCTTGTCTTTGATACTAACATAGTATATCATTTTCAGCTAATTACAGCCAAACTTACACAAATAAGTTCCAATATGCCTTCAAGCCCTGATAGCTCTTCTGATTCCTCAACTGGGTCTCCTGGAAACCATGGTAATCATTACAGTGATGGTCCTAATCCAGAAGTGGAAAGCTGTTTGCCTGGGGTGGTGAGTAGATAGTTTTGAGCTACTGTATTCAAGGCATTATGCTAGGTTCTTCGAGAATCTAGAAGTATATAGAATAGTTCTTTTTTGTTGAGGAGCTTATAATTTAATGTGGCAAAATATCAAATAACTGTACAGTTAACCATCAACTTCGGAATGGATCCCTCTGAAAGGTGATTTTTAACTTGGTTAAAATTTAAAACGACATTTCCCTGTAGATACAGTATTATTATGTTGACATAAAATTAATCTATTATACAGCTTAATTAACACTATTTTATATATAAATTTAGAAAAATACCACTGTATTTAATAATACCAGCCACTCCAGTGTCAGAAGGATTGGCTCCCTGCAGCAGTTGGATTAGGAATTTAACTATTAGTGGGCATGGGAGCCTTTTGTATGTACAGAATCTAACTTGTATGTAGTGTGAAATAGTTTAACAAAGTAGTAAAAGAGCTGTCACACAGAAATTACTGGAGGTGGCTGGATAATGTATTCAGTCTGCATCATGAAGGATTTGTAAAAGTGAGAAGATGCGGAAGGCAGGCCATTTCAGAGAGTAGAAATGACAAAAGCAAAAGTGTGGAGATTAACAAGCAAATTTATTTGTGGGCTTTTCTGTGGAGGTGTAATTTACAGGTAAATATTTTGTGTATTTTGCATTCTAGATAATGTCACTGCATCCCAGATACATCTCTTTCCTTTGGCAAGTTGCAGACTTAGGTAGCAGCTTAAATATGCCTCCTCTTAGAGATGGAGCAAGAGTACTTATGAAACTTATGCCACCAGGTAAGAATTTTTTTAAAAACTAATAATGTCGATAAAGTACATGCTGGACAATAATGGGATATGTTAGCAAATTCTTTTCCTAGATGGAACATGCTTTGTGGTATAGACCAGAACAGGAGTTGGCAAACTACAGCCCACAGGCCAAATCCAGCCCACTGCCTGTTTTTGTACAGCCAAAGAGCTCAGGATGTTTTTTACATTTTTAAATGGCTGAAGAAAAAAATCAAAAGAATCATATTTTGTGATTCATGAAAATGATATGAAATTTAAATTTTAGTGTCCCTAAAGTTTATTGGTGTACAGCCACTCTCCGTCATTTACATACTGTCTATGGCCTCTTTTATCTTAAAGCAGCAGAGCTCAGTAATTGTGGCAGAGACTATAAGGCCTACAAAATCTTAAATATTTACTGTCTGGCCCTTTACAGAAAAAAATTTGCTGACCCCTGGACTGTATTTTAGGTCATGTGTCGTCTATAGCATTGTTCCTTTTTTGTTCCTTAGAAACAAGCACTTAACTCTTAACTCCCACATCCTCCCAGTTTTTGTTTGAATTCATATTCAGCATTTACATTTTCAAGAGTGTGTGAAAAGTAGTTCACTGGAATACTGACAGCTTTTTTTCCTGGATTTCATAATTTCTGCTTTTCATTTTTTTGATTTCCCATACACCTATTGGCAATTCTTCCCACATATGCTCTAATAACCTCTGAAAATAATTTTCCATTAATATGTGCATTATATAATCTGTCAGCTCCACTGTTATCCTAGAACTTTTCTTCCTTCTTTCATCTGATTGTTGGCTACACAGCTACCGTTGGGGGGCTTCTTTCTTCAGCTTTCCTATGGTGTATCCCTATTCACTGGCTCCTATGTCTTGGGCCTTTCTTGAGGTTCTCTCTCATTTTGCTGAAGCACGCCCTCCTGCACTTATCTCAGAAAAGGTACATGGGAGATGGTTTTATTTGTTTTTGAGACATAGCTTATCTAAATGCAGCTAAACCCCCACATTTGATTAGTAGTTTGGGTATTGACTTGTAAGTTAAAAATTTACTCTGTCTTGCTGGTAATGTTGCTGGTGTGAAGACCAAAGCCCACCTGTTTTCTGTTCCTTTGCATATGATCTTTGTTTCTGGAAGTTTTGGTTTTATGATTGAGTTTTGAAATTTCATGATGAGGGGTGGCCCCGTGGCTTAGCGGTTAAATGCGCGTGCTCCGCTGCTGGCGGCCCGGGTTCGGATCCCGGGCGCGCACCGACGCACCGCTTCTCCGGCCATGCTGAGGCCACGTCCCACATACAGCAACTAGAAGTATGTGCAGCTATGACATACGACTATCTATTGGGGCTTTGGGGGGTAAAATAAATAAATAAAATTATGAAGAAAAAAAAAAGAAAGAAATTTCATGATGAGATGCCTTGGAGTAGGTCTGTTTTGTGGTGGGGCTAGAGATTACTAATTGGTGAGAGAGATGTGTTCTTCCTTTGCTAATTTTTTCTGAATGTTTTGCTTTTTGTATGTCTTTGAAATGTCTATGACTTTGGTGTTGAATCTACTAAATCTGATTTTCTTACTTTTCTTTCTCCTTTCTCTTGTTAATTTTATTGCATCTTCGGGGTTGTGTCCTTAGCTCTTTCCAGCTCTTCTTTTAACTTTTTTTTTTTTTTTAAAGATTTTATTTATTTATATTTTTCCCCCCAAAGCCCCAGTAGATAGTTGTATGTCGTAGCTGCACATCCTTCCAGTCGCTGTATGTGGGACGTGGCCTCAGCATGGCCAGAGAAGTGGTGCGTCGGTGCGCGCCCGGGATCCAAACCCGGGCCGCCAGCAGCGGAGCACGCGCACTTAACCGCTAAGCCACGGGGCCGGTCCTGCTTTTGACTTTTTGCACCCAGATGTTCTAGTGTTAAATTTTCAAGACCTTCCTGCAAGTGATCCTTTTCCATATGATTTTGTTTTTCATGAACACATTTCAGTATTTCTGCTCTAATAATATGTGTTTTCCTCTAAAACCTAATGTTCTGCAAAATTATGCACTAAAAGTAACAGGGCTTGTTGAAAAAAGGAGAGTTGGGGCAGATCATTCAATCCTGTACAACTTGAAAAAAAAATTTTTTTGTGTGACATTTACAGCCTTACCAAAAAGTTAAAAGTATATTTTGAGAACTTTTTTGGGAACCATTTTAGAGTAATTTGCTGATCTGATGTCCCATCACCCTTAAATACTTTATTGTCTGTTCCCAACAAACAAGGATATTTGTCTCTGTAACCAAAATACAACCATCTAAACGAGGGCATTAACATTGATTCATTACTACTATCTAATCAGCAGCCCCCATTAAAGGTTCTTCAGTAATCTCCTTTAGAGCAAAAAGATCCAGTTCATAAATCATGTATTGCATTTAGTTGATATACATCTCCTTAGTTTCCTTCTGGAATAGTTCCTCATTCTATCTTTGACTTTCATCATCTTGACACTTTTGAAGATTATAGGCCAATTATTTTGTAGAATATCCTTCAGTTTAGATTTATCTTGTTTTCATCGTGGTTAGATTCAGGTTAGGTATCTTGCGAGGGAACACCACAGAAGTGAAACTCTGTTCTTCTCAGTGCTTCCTGTCACATTGTGGGCAATTTCTGTTTTTCCCATTACTGATGGTGGTCGTTGTTGACCACTTGAGTGTTTGCCATGCTTCTCCACTTGAAAATAACTCTTTCCCTTTGTAATTAAGTATTTTGGGGGGGGGTGGTACTTTGAAATCATTTATGCTGTTCCTTCAATTCTAGTCTGATATCACAAGGTTCCTTTTAGTCTTCTCCCTTTCCATATTTGTAACTCCCTTCTCTGACAGTGAGCAACCTGGGTCCCATTACCCTTCGATGTATTTTCCTATTTAATCAATCCTCTTTATGTAATCAGTCATCTCTTCTACCACCGCTTTCTCTGTGTGGAAGGACTCTGGCTCTCAGTTTATTGAGTTTATAAATTTTATATTCATTTGTGCTGGGCCTCAGTCTACCTCATGGACACCCTCCTCACTCTACCTGAGTTGAATCCTCATGCTGAGCTACCCCACTTTCTTCCTCTTCTACTTGGCATCTAAGTCCCTACATACGATTGCCCCCCCACCCCCCCATGAGTATCCTCCTCACCCTGCTTGGGCTCTAATGCCCTAGGCTAGGCAGCCCTTTCACATAGAGTTTAAACAGATTGCTAATAAAAATAATTAGTATCTTCAGAGGTAACTTGGACAGCGCACGCAGGTAGTTCAGTGTGGCTGAAGGCTGCCTCAGGAGATAATAAAAAGACGTGAAACAAATGGAGAGAAAATGCTGGCTTGACAGTGCTGACATAATATAGATGAAGTGGAACTCTGAGACAGATGGGCTACCATTAACGTGGGCACAGGACAAGGTAAAATCGGCCAAGAGTCATGCAAGTCTGGGAGTTCACCTCCCAGGGTGAGTCCCGGGTACAGGTGCTAACGTTTAATTTTCCTAAAAGAGTTAAAAGGGATTCTTCCTGTGCAGCTGCTAGGCTGAGGGGTTTTTGTTTGGTTGGTTTTGGTTTTGGTTGTTGGAAATGACAATTCTTGTCCTGCTATACTGATTCCCGTTGCTTGGGGGAAATCACATATGAACACACTTCACCATTTTACTGACATCATTCTATTTGCCAATTGAATACGAGCTAATTAGGGTTATAGACACATGTTACAACATAACAGACTGTACTTATTTCTCTGGAGGCTATTACTGATAGATGTTTTATTTGTTTTCTTCTGTTTCCTGCATGTCTCTTGTGTTCATAGAGTTTCTTTTTTTTTCCTCTATTAAAGAAAACTAACTTTTTCTATTGAAATAATTTCAAACTTACAAAGAATAGTACGATCTCAGTTACCCTTCCCCAATCAATAGTTGTTAACATTTTGCCATAGTTGTTATATCAATCTTTCTATGATTTTTTTCTAACCTTTGGAGAACAAGTTGTAGATACTGTATCTTTTTATCCCTAAACACTTAGAGCTTTCTAAGAACAAGGACATTCTGTCATTACCACAGTATTAATCAAAATCAGAAAATTTAACATTGATACATTACTGTAATCTAATTTATAGACCTTACTAATATTTTCCTAGTTTTCCCAATATTGTTCCTTACAACAGTGTTTTCTGGTTGAGGATCCAATTCAGGTTCATACTTTGCATGATTAGCTAGTACATCTCTTTAATCTGGAACAATTCCTCAGTCTTTGTCTTTTATGACCTTGATGGTTTTGAAAAGCACAGATCAGTTTGGTGTTGAATATGGCTCTTTGGATTTTGTCTGTTTCCTGATGATTATATACAGGTTGTACATTTTTGACCGATTACACAGGGCATCACACCAGGAGGCACATGTCAGTTTGTCCTTTATTGGTGACATTATCACAGACCACTTAATTGATGTCTGCCAGGTTTCTCCTCTGCAAAGTTATTTTTCCTTTTGTGGAGAGATGCTTTGAGACTGTGTAACTCTTTTTCCTCATCAGACTTTTACTTACTAATTACTGCCTGAATCAGTTTTTCCTATGATGGTTGCAAAATGGTGATTTTGTTTTAAGTTGATCATTCTTTCTACATTTATTAGTTGGTATTCTACTATAAGGTAGAGCTTTGCCTTCTCCCCTATTTATTATGTGTTATAACTATTTACTCATGGATTCTTATTTTATCCCTTGGATTATGACCTTTATAATCACTATTTATTTATTTTTGCTGAGGAAGAGTCGCCCTGAGCTAACATCTGTTGCCAGTCTTCCTCTATTTTCTCTGTGCATTGCCACCACAGCATGGCCAATGACAAGTGGTGTGGGTCCACACCCAGGAACCAAACCCGGGCCGCCCCAATCATTATTTTGATGCTCACTTGTCCCAGATGTGGTCAGTGGATGGACCCCTTGTCTTTTTTTTCACATGGACCCAATGCCTTTTTTATACAGTCTCATCATTTTTTGAGTACTTGATTACTTTTCTGGCACAAGATGGTCAAAGCTCTTCTAGTACTTTCTCTATCGCAGCCCTGGAATCAGCCATTTCTCCTTTTAGTGAGAGAGGGTATTTAGAAACCAAAATCTGAGGGCTAAATTGTGCTCATTACTACAGGAATGAAACAAGGAAATGTTTCTAGGCCTTTTCATGGGACTGAGGAAGTAATACATACAGACGTCTACATCAATTTTTGTATCTATCTCTATTAGGAAAAAACAAGCATAGGTTCACATCCAGCTTCTTAGTCTCTCTCTATTCCATATTCGTATCTATCGCTACATTAGTGAGAAATCTGCTTCCCAACTTATAATTTATCTTTTTGCTGGTGGGGGTAGGTAGGGTAGAAACTTGCTTATGCAGACTTCAGCCACTCGGTTAAGTCTTTGATTGATCTGTAACTTCCCAAGAACCTTGTGGGGTACTAACAGGTATACTCTGCCCCTCCCTCTTACCCCACAAGTGTTTCTTGGTTCAGCTAAGCCAGCTATCTATCTTCTATCCCCTCTATACCTTCAATAATTCACTGACATCTCTCTAGTGTTCCTTCATCTCCTATTTGTATGTCCTTTTGAGTTTACATATTTTATATTCATTTATTCTCACTTCAGTGGTGTTTGTGGACGCATTTCTGATAAATACAGTTCAATATTGGTCAAGTTACTTTTTAAAACTGTCTTGTGTTTTCATTATTGCCTTTTTCTAAAGTAAATACCCTGTTGACTGAAATTTCCCATCTTGCGTTCTGATTCCTATAGGACAGATTCAGTTCAAATATTACTTAGATTCTTGACTAACGTTTCTGTCAATGATTTAATTTAATCCTTATCAGTTGTATCGTTTAGAATTTGTATTTTATTTTCGAGTATCTGCGGAACAGTTGTTGTTGCTTTATGTATGCAAATTCAACCTTCACAACATATTTTAAAACAAACCCATCTCAGAATCCCTGATCTTGTGATTTGAGCATAATGCCACCAGATGGCGAGAGTGACTTCTCGCCAGGCAGCTCAAGCAGGAAACTTAAGAGGGTGCTTTGTTTCATATTTTATATAATCAAAGTATAGTTCCTAAATTTGAAATAGCCAACTTTGAAAAAGCCAGTAATGATTGTATTACAGTAGACAAATCATAGACTTTGGACTCAAATGGACTTGAGTGCAAATCCTGCTTCTTCTAGTTGCTACTTTGTGGCCTTACACATAAGTTTTCTTAGTTTTCAGAGCTTCCTTATCTGTAAAACTGGACTTAATAACTATTTCACAGAATTGCAGGGATTAATGGGGTGATGTATGGAGAACGCCTAGCCTAGTGACTGGTATTTAATTAGTATTCAACAAATGTGAACCTACTCTCTATCACTATGGTTGCTACACACACATGTGAGTCTACACACACACTCTTCTTTAAGGAAGGAAGCAGGGGCTCTATGAAAAGGAAATAGTTGTAAATTTTGTTTCTAGCTGTGTAGCATTTGAGGAATCATTTATTGTTTGTGCACACATGCATGTATTTGAAAGAGGGGGGGCCAAGATGGAATTAGTAGCTTTTTTTCTAGTCATTGACTTTACCTCTGTTAGTTCATTCTGAATCTGCCTGAAGTCAAGCACTTCCATTATCATTTGCTATTAAACTTAGAACTTTTACATTCTTCTCTGTAGGTAATTTAATCTCTTGTAACCTAGACTGTACTCAAGAGCTCCTTTGACATTTCCCTATATACATCAGGAAAACAGACTCTTGCTTGATACTGAGTGGTTAAAAGGTATACTGCTTTGCCAAGCAAAATGACTTGTTTTTCCTCTTCAGAGCTTCTTTTTTCCCCAGGACTTTGGTCTAACTAATATCTTAAAATATGCCAAAGTCTGTTATAAGCACTTCACACTTGTTAACTCATTTAAACCTCACAACGTTCCTATGAGGGAGTTACTGTTTTTATATGTATTTTAAAGATGGGGATGGGGCTGGCCCCGTGGCTTAGCGGTTAAGTGCGCGCGCTCCGCTGCTGGTGGCCCGGGTTCGGATCCCGGGCGCGCACCAACGCACCGCTTCTCCGGCCATGCTGAGGCCGCGTCCCACATACAGCAACTAGAAGGATGTGCAGCTGTGACATACAACTATCTACTGGGGCTTT